TGATTGGTAAGAGGAGATTGATTGTTGTATTCTGAGTTACACTAACTGAATTGGAGAAGAAAGGTAATGCAAGCATGAAGTCCAGTAAAGTCAGTCATGCAAACTAACAACGCTTCATATTCTCCGTTTCACAGCTATAATATAAGCGGTGATGAAGAGTACAGCAAGGGCGATAACAAAGTTAAAATAGGCTTGAAAATAGCTTATTTTTAGCGTAGATCCGACAAATCGAATTAAAGTTCAGCGAAAAAAGCCAGCAAGATAAATTATGTGCATGACGTTCTTTTCATTAGCAAGTTAAATCTCAAAATACAAAGTAAAAATCAGTGATAACAGAGATTTTTTATCTGCAAACTTGCGGAAGACTGCGCCGTTGCTAACTGCAACTCAGTGTCTTTCATAACTTTCATATCTAGTAATCCCCATTCTCCCTGATCACGGTTTTTTTTACTTGATCTTCAGTTTCAATCTACATTTCTCTGCTCCTGTTCTTCACTTCAGCACAGGGCCTACTTCAGAGTACGGTAGAGCAACAGCGACAGACGAGATTAAGAAACTGAGAGGGTGCGGGGAAATACTTGTTTCTCGTAACTAGCGATTCTTCCTCCACTGCGGTAGCCAACTTTATTATGTATCCAACAAGCAACGCTCTCCGTATCACCGTCAACATCGCTGTGGTCATAGTCATCCTTGGCACAGTCATGACATCACAGAAATTCTTTTTGCAAGATAAACAATTAAAAACAAAGATCAAAGGTTTATTTTTCATAGCAAGGAAAATAAAAGAAATTTAAATGTAAAATTGAAATAGAATAATTTTAGAAATAAACGATTCAGTTGTCAATTAGAATCTGTCTCGTTCTAGGTTATATTTATTGTGAAAAAAGTGTGAGACTGGTTTATGCAATCAGATATATACAATGCAGATGAAAATGATATTGGCCTCTAAATTTTTGCAGAGTGGGTCCACTTTAAAACTCAAAAAAAGACTGCTGACAAATTTCTGAAAGGAGGCAGACGTTTTCTGTGGCGCCTTACTGGTGTCGACATTTCAACAGATTCGAGCAAAAGTAAAAAGCTTTATCAGAATTCTTAAAAATCTCCACTAATTTTTTGTTTGAAGCGGCACTAGATTTTGCTAAGCAGGATCAGTGTTTTAACGAGTCGCTACGAGAGAAATGTAAAAATTGACTATTCTGCAGAATCCAATAGACAAATCTAAGTGCTTAAGTAATGGCGAATTGCTTAGATTACTTCTAACGCAAGTCAGATTTATTATTAATACTAAAAATTGGTAAACCGAGAAGACCAACAGTAGTTTACTTTTTATTATAGACTTGCAATATTTATATGCAAAATATAGCTTTTTTGTAACTTAGATTATTTTGTTAAAGACAGTTAAACAACTATCTACTTAAATAGACTGACAAATTACCTGTTGTTGCAACTTATATAAGAATCTATGCAAATATTTCATATCAAGAGTTTTTATTCCTTTTTTGATATAATTTGAAAGTTTTAAAACAACCCCGTAGTTTTAAATACTCAGATAATTTAAACAAACTTTTAATTTATAACACGTAAACTGTTTATTGTCTAAATTTATTCATTTGTTCAGGAAAAAGTGATAAATAGATTAATTTTTTGAACATTTTTTTTTTGTTCAGAATTCAGTGTAGCGAAATGATTGTTTTAAAGTGTGCAAATATAATTTTTTTTTTTTTCGAAAATAACCTTGTTTTGCTTTTTTTCCTTTTTTCTTTTGTTTGCCACAATTTTCAAAAGTTAAATGACTATTTTTATTCCCCCAGTTCTAAATCATCTATAGTTTCCAATGATAAACCAAACTATGGTATATAATTAGCTGATAAAGTACGAGATTATAAAGATCTCAAAAATTGATTCTTTGTTTGTCGAGTATTCGTTCCACATAGAAGACAAACGAGCGGTGATAACAGTGAAAACAAAGCTTCTGCATAATTCCGTTAATAGCCGAATTTTTTTGTAGTCTGCATCCTGACGAAGCTAGAAGATAGTGCAACACCCAACAAGTTGATCGACAAGTATTCTGTGAATCACTTTATTTAATTATGCTTTTTTTTTTTGCTGAACCACTGCTACCACCTCAGTTGCTTTCATCTGAACCTTTAATCCTTATGAGATCTTCAGATACAAATTTGCAAATAATAGTCCAAAACGACAACGTATTATGCTCTGACTGAAGCCGTAGTTCGTTAAGTTTTGTTCTGCAATAACAGTCTGACTCTGAGTGGGCACAAATTTGAAGAAATTGTTAAAAAATAATATTTACTTTAAAGGCTAAAACTGTTTTTATATGTTGCAAAAATTTCCAAAAATGTTATGAAAAATAAGGCTCAAAATATTATAATGCTTCAAAAATTTTTCTCAAGCAGCTATTTGTAGTGTTATTCAAAGTTTAGTCCTAAAATTTTTCAGTTTTGGTATCAACTGTCTAAAAATTATGTTTCACTTCGTTATCTTTCATCCTATGTTTTGTCAGTGAGCTGAACGAGGTTTATATGAAGAATAAGCGACAGAAAACGCATAATTATTATATTAATATTTTAAAAGTAACTAAACTTATAAATGCTTATTGAGTATATCTTATCGTCTAGGTGGCTATAATTTTAATACTCATTTATAATACTAAAAATCGTCTGATATATGCAGAAAAAAAAACACATGGTTTTAAATCTAAATCTTTTTGGCTTCCTTTTTTTTCCCTCCCTCTCCCCCCTTTCTTTTCTACTATGATCTTTGGCTGTAGTCAAACGATGATTGAGACTGATCAACTTTTATAGATGCTTGATAAAAAAAACGACAAATATTTTTTTTAAATGAAACTACAGAATAACACAGTTGATAATTAGATATACATTAATTTTTTATCAACTATTTTGTAAGAAAAAAACATATTGCTTTGATTCTAATAGCTGATAAAAAAAGAATTAAAAAAAATTAATTGATGGATGTTAAAAGCTTTTTCCATTTTTGATACATTAAAATTGCCATTTGGAAACAATTTCAGTGAAATGAAAAAAAAAAAAGTAACAGAAAAAAGTTTAGTGATTTTGATATTTGCACTAAAAAGGTTCATCTGTGGTCGTAATGAAGATTACAGAGTGGAAGATTGGTTGCCGTGGTGACTGCAACCATTACTGGGCTAAGGATGAGCACCGGCAGTATGTTGAAAAGTGTTTATTAATTCATAACTTTTACTTCTTTGTTTTTCAAATCTTCTTCTATTATATTATATCTTATGTTTCTTCAAAAACTTTAAAATTTCCTTTCCACTTTTTTTTTTGCTTCTTTTTCGAAACTTTCTTGTGTAACA